GTATAAACACACACACACATACACACACAAACACATGGTAAGGAGGAGTCTCCTGTGCAATTATGAAGACGGAAACAGTATACTGTTACCATTGTTCTTTTTTATTATTGTTCATCTACTGTGCATAATTTATAAATTAAATTTTATCATAGGTATGTGTAAGAAAGAAATTTTAATTTTTTGTTTGAGATAAGATCTCACTGTCTAGTTCAAGTTGGCCTTGAACTCACTTTGTAGCCCAGGCTGGCCTCAAACTTGCAGTGATTCTCCTGTCTCAGCCTCCCCAGTGCTAGGATTTTAGGTGTGGGCCACCATGCCCTGTGGTTCTGTGCAATTTTATTACATGTATAGCTTTATGTAACTACCACTAAACTCAAGATATATAATTGTATCTCACCACAGGGTCCTGTGAGGCTACCCCTTTATCTGCATTTCTGCCCTCTTCCTATACTCCTACCCCATGGCAACCACTAATCTGTTCTCTCTGTGATTTTATTTTACAGTAAGAGTGTTATGTAAATGGAATTATAAAATATCTAGCTTTGAGATTGCTGTTTTCACTCAGCAGAATTCACTTAAGGTTCATCCAAGTTATTTATATACCAACAGTTCATTCCTTTCTATTGGTGAGTAGTACTCCATGGCATGTGTGTACCAGTTATAGGAGTTTGTTTAACCTTTCTCCCATTAAGGCTATTTGGGTCATTTCCAGTTTTGGGCTATTCTGATCAAAGCTAGTATAAACTCTCATCTACAAACATCTTGGTGAATGTCAGTTTTCATTTCTCTGTGATGAATGTCCAGCAGTACAAATGCTGAGTCACATGACATGTCCATTTTAAAGAAGCACAGTTTTCAAAGAAGTGGTCAAACTGTTTTTCGAGTGGCTGTACCATTTTTTACATTGCCAACGTCAGTGACCTAGTTTCATCACACCCTCACCCAGCATGTAGTGTTGTCAATTATTTTTTAAAGCCATGTTAATAGTGTGCAGTGATACCTATTTGTAGTTTTAATTTGCATGGCTAAAGGTGCTGAACATCTTTGAATGTGCTTATCTGCCATCTGTAAGGCCTTTGACTAAACATCTTTTTTGTGTGTATATAACATATTTTGGTCCTATCCATCCCTCTTTTACTCCATCCCCTCATTCCCTTCAGTGCTATGCCTTTTTAAATCATAATTTTTGGCCCATTTTCTAATAAGACTTTTAAATGATGAGTTTTCAGAGTTCTTTGTACATACTAGGTACAAGTCTTTTTATCAGATACATTCATCCTTTTCACAGGGCTTTGCAGAGCAAGAGTATTAAAATTTGCTTAAGTTTGTCACATTTTCTTTAGGTTGTGCTTTCAGTATCATGCCTGAGAACTCTGCCTAGCTTTAGGTCCTAAAGATTTTCTTTTGTGTTCTTTAACTTGTGTTCTCTTTTGAGGTAAGTTTTGTATAAGGCATGAGGTTTAGGTTGAGATTCATTTTTTCCCTTTGGATGTCTGTCTGCTCTCTTGTCATTTATTGACAGGATTTCCTCGCTCCCATTGAATTGCTTTTGCACCTTTGCCAAAAATTAGTGGGGCTTGTTTATGTGAATCTGTGTCTGTTTTGTAGTGTGTGTGCATGCGCACATGTGTATGTGCATGTGTCTGTCCATCCCTCTGCCAGTACTATACTGCCCTGATTACTATAACTCTGTAAATCTTGAAGTTGGGTAGTGAGTTTTCAACTTTGTTGTTCTTTACTAGTGATTTGGCTATTTTAAGGTCTTCCTTTTTCATATAGCTTGAGCTCAGTTTGCAGCCCAAGCTGGTCTCAGCAATGATCCTCCTGCCTCAGCCTCCCGAGTGCTGGGATTACAGGTGTGCGCCACCGTGCCTAGCTGGCATCAAGGTTTTTAAAAAATACTTTTTCCATGATAGTTGCTGTGATCATATGACTTTTCTTCTATACCCTGTTGCTATGGGGTATTGATAGATTTTTTTTTTTTTTACTAGCCTTACATAACTAGAACACATTCTGCATGTGTGTGGTGTATTCTCTATTGCTGGATTCAGTTTACAAATATTTTTAAAAAATTATTATTTTTATTTTTTTCGTCTTTTTGAGACAGAGTCTGGCTATGCAGTTCAGGCTGGCCTTGAGTTCACTTTGTAGCCCAGGCTGGTCTTGAACTCGAAACAATCCTTCTGCCTCAGCCTCCTGAGTGCTGGGATTGCAGGCGTGCAGCACCATGCCTGGCCTTACAAATATTTTATTAAGGATTTTTCATTGTAAGTTCTTGAGAGCTATTGGTGTTTAGTTTTCTTACGTCATTATATGGTTTTGGTGGTTGTATAGTAAAATGGCCTTATAAAATGAATTGGGAACTGTTTCTGCTTCCTGTGTTTCTGGAAAACATTGTATAAAATGGCTGTTAATTCTTCTCTCAGTGTTTGGTAAAATTCTTCAGTGAAGTTAGCTGCAGCTGAAAATTTTTTCAGGAACTTTATAAAATAATGGCTTTAATTTAAAAAATAGCTATAGTGTTATTTAGGCTATCTACTTTATGTTGCAGAGTTTTAGTTGTTTTTGAAGTATTCCCTTGAATTATGAGCTAAAATTGTTTATCATATTTTCTTATTTTTTTTAAAGTATTGAGGTAAAATTTGCCTTTTTTTTTTTTTTTTTAATTTGATTTTTGAGACAGGGTTTCACTATGTAGTCCAGGCTGGCCTCAAATTTCTGATGATTCTCCTGCTTCAGCCTCCTGAGTGTTGGGATTATAGGCATGTGCCACCATGCCTGGTTAAAATTTTACCATTTTAAAGTATACATTTCATTAGTTTTTTTGGTGAATTCATAATGTTTTAGAAGCATCACTGGATCTAATTCCAGAGCATGTTTATCACTCCAGAAAGAAAAAGCCTGTACCTACTAATCAGTCCTGTCTGTCCTTCTCCTTCCCTGGTTCCTAACAGTCACTGATCTCTCTTTTCTTGCTGTAGATTTGCTTGTTCTGAACATTTTCACAGAAATGGTGCTTGGCTTCTCTTACAAGATTTTCAGGGTTTGTCCATGTTCTAATATGTATCAATATTTATTCCTTTTGAGCCTCTCTAGCAAATGTTTTATGTTGGTAATTCTGTGTTTTAATTGTTTAATTTCCATTTGGTATCTTAAAAAATAACTTCTGGAATTGAGGGTGTAGTTCAGTGATAGAGCACATGCTTGCTGTGTGACAAGGCCCTTAGTTCAATTCCCAGATCTCTTCCTGACTGCACTCTTATTTCTTTGCTGAGATTTAAAATTTTTTTTTGTTTCAGCAGGGTCCATAATTGTTTGTTGAAGCATTTTTATGATGGTGGCTTTAAAATTCTTGTCAGATAATTGTAACATCTGGTTGATCTTTGTGTTTGTGTCAGTATGATCCCCGCCTTTGGGCAGTATGGGAGATTGAACTCAGGGTCTTTGTGCTAACCTACCCACCCAGCCCTTTTTCTAATTTTTTATTATGAGACAGGGTCTCACTAAGTCACTAAGTTGCCTACAGTGGCCTTGAACTCACAATCCTTCTGCTTCAGTCTCCCAGAGAGAGAGTTGGAATTATAGATGTTCACCACCCTGGACTTGTCTTTTCTTGTTCAGATGTGCTTTTCTTTTTTTTTTTTTTTTTTTTTTTTTTTTTTTTTGTTTTTTTCTCTGGTACCGGGAACCGAACTCACGACCTTGCGCTTGCCAGGCAGGTGCTTTGCCGCTGAGCTAAATCCCCAGCCCCCAGATGTGCTTTTCCTGGTTCCTGGTACACATGTTTTAAGTATATCCTGAACATTTAGTTATTATACCAGGTAGACTCTTGATTCTATTTAAATTTTCTATTTTAGCAGGTAGTTACCCTATTTAGGTTTAGTGTATCTTTCCTGTCCTAGTTTTGTGAGCTGTAATCCCTATAGTAATTTAGTTGCCTAGGTTTTTTTTTTTTTTTTGGTTTTTTTTTTTAAAAGAGGAAAGGTTTATTTAGCTCACAGTTTGTAGAGGTTTCAGTCCATAATTGGTTGGCTCCGAAGTAGGGTGCCACATGGCAGAGGGCACCTGTTTGTGGCGGTGGAAAACATCGAAAGTAACAAGAGAGGAGTGGGGAAGAGAGAGTGAGCGAGCTAGCTTATTAGATCTTGCAAGTGCTATTGTCTTTAGCTTTATTTTTTTAGCACCGTGGAACTACTGTTTTATCTCTACAGGTGCTGCTCTGGTGCACTGGTGGGAGTGGGGGCTTCGCATTGGCACAGCTGTGGGACAGGGACCTAGCTGCCACCGTGGTGAATGTGGCCTGCTACTGTATTGGATGTAGGTTAAGGACCTTGCTGATGCTGTGGTGGATTGGGCCCATTATGATCCTGGATGAACACTGGGGAAGGTGTCTCCCTGCTAGGTCTCTGCTGAGCAGTCCTTGTATAGACCTTCATCCAGAGAGGAGGATTTTCTCATTTGCTTGCCTGTCTATCTGTGCATCTGTCCATCCATCTGCCCACCCATCTACCCTGCCCCCGTTTGCTCCCTCCCTGCTGGTGTTTCTCGGTGGCAAACCTCTCTGGTGTCCTGTCTGGGACAAATGGGAGATAAAAGGAAAACCTAGCGAACTACCTATGGTACTTTCCTGCAGTCCTGAGGTCCCTGGCTAGACGACCATCTCCTTTCCATCTTCTGGAGTCCTATTAGGGTGTGTTTTGAATTATTTTTAAGGAATTTATCTGTATTTGGAGGACAGGAGCAGGAATATATGAGCTTGTGCTAGAATTAGGACCCTGGCGATTTTGAATTTTTTTTGCATTGATATTTATGGGCAAAAAAATTTGCAATGATTAAGGCTTTTCCTTTTATAGACTTCACTCTTTGGGATGCTTCTCCACAGCTGTTCACTTTAGGAATGATATAAGAATGCTTCTTCTCTTGTTTAAATTGTATGGGAATTAGAAATGTCGTATTTTAATGTCCATTATTTATTTACTCATTTGTGTATTTATTTTTAGGGAGTGGAGCAACTGCTGTGGTCCAAGCAGCTTATTGTGCCCCTAAAAAGGAGAAAGTGGCGATCAAACGAATAAACCTTGAGAAGTGTCAAACTAGCATGGATGAACTGCTGGTATGCACATTGCATATTTTTTTGTTGTTGTGTGTTTTTTTGAGAGAGGGTCTCACTATGTAACTCAGGCTGGCCGGGAACTTGTGGCAATCCTCCTGTCTCAGCCTCCTAAGTGCTGGGGTTGTAGGCATGTGCCACCATGGCACGTCACATATTTCTCTTTTTTTCTTTTTCACATATTTCTTAAATAGAGAAATACACTCATATATTTATGTTAGGCTGGGAAATAACATGTTTTTGATTTGTTGTTTTCTTTAAAAGAAGTTTTATGATTTCTTCATTAATAATGTTTATTGTAAAATTTATAAAACCCAGGTAAGTAGAAAAATTATTTATATTACTATTTTTCTCAGAGTAACATTGGCTATATGATCTTTCAGACTGTGAACATTTAAATGTCGTTGTATTTTCATGGTAATATAATCTTCTTTTTTTGCTCTTTTCATTGAATAGTTTATCATACAACTTCTGTGTCTAAATATAGATTTAATGTTTTTAATGGGTGTATGGTAGTCCATTGAATAGGAAGACTATAATTTATTTAACTTTTTTTCATATTGGATGATTACTGTGTTTCCTTTTTTCTTACTGGTATAAATCAGTGATGGTGAACCTCTTAGAGAGTAAGTGCCAAAACTGCAACCCTAACCCACTTATTTATTGCAAAGTGCAACATTGCAATTAAACCTGAACACTGAGGTTTCACTTTAGGAAAAATATATGTCAATGTCTTTTGTCTGAAAAGACACAGTAACACATGTACCATAGCTTCACCACCATTGTATAAACAGTGCTTGCTTCTTTCTTTGTTTCCTTAAACAATATCGTGGAATTGTGATTCCTGTGTTAAGTGGAATGTGCTTTAAAAGGCTTTGCTTTTGAGCTGGGTGTGGTGGTACATATCTTTAATACCAGCTACTCAAAAGGCTGAGGCAGGAAAGTTTTAAGTTTGATGCCAGCCTGGGCTCTTAGTTAGAAAGTATCTCAAAATTTTAAAAAAATTATGTATTAAAAAAGGGCTGAAGATAGCTCAGTAGTAGAGTACTTGCCTAGAATGGGCAAGGCGCTGGTTTCAGTGTCCAGTACCGCCTCCTGCAAGAAGGTTTTGGCTTCCTGGAAACATGGTACCAATTTGTATTATGACCTTCGATGCAAGAAGAGAGCTTGTCACCCCTCCCCTATTAGCTTCTTTACAGGATATGGAAACGAAGAAGGGTGAGTTCTATGGGTCAGTAGCTCTAAGAGATGTTCTGTGGCATTAAGATACAGACATACAGACATTTTGTGCTCTGTGACACTCAGAATAGTCTTAGGAATGTAATATGCTCAGCAAGGAAAGCTGGATAATTTTACAAGTCACTGAATGTTTTACATTCTGTTACCTTTTTTTAATGGCTAAAAATGAAAATAATAATAATTGCTTTAGGTACCTCATAAGGTTTTTTTTCAAACTTAAATGATGTTATTTGAAAGCTGTAAACTGCCATACAAAATAAGCTCCTACTATTTTTAGGTAATTGCTCTAAGGGCATATATACAGCTAGTGATAGGACATGGATGAAGACTAGAATGATACACCAGAAGTTTTCTCATCATTGCCAATATTTTTGAACAGTTACTTCTGTTTCATTTTTTATTTTCACACAGGGTTTCATTAAGTTGGTAAGTTGCTCAGGTGGGGTTGCAACTTGTGATTCTCCTGTCTCAGCCTCCCAGAGGGCTGGGATTATAGGCGTGCACCACTACACCTGGCCTCAATTTTTTATTTTGTGTTTCAATGCTAGGGATTTTTTTTTTTTTTTTTTGGTTTTTCTTCGGTACTGGGAACCGAACTCATGACCTTGCGCTTGCCAGGCAGGTGCTTTGCCGCTGAGCTAAATCCCCAGCCCCTCAATGCTAGGGATTAAACCTAGGGATTCTCACATACTACGTAAGCAGTCCTCCCCTGCCTCAAATTAGATTTAATTTCTCATATTGTCTGTGTTGAGTATTAGATAATAGTTGGAATGAAAGGAAAAGAGGTTGTAGAGTTATATATTGAGCTCGTAGCAGGTGAGACAACTGTATGCCTTCAGGAGTTGGTAACACATGTGCAAGAGCTGAAGGAGTATTGCTGAAGTGATATTGAGGCATCTTTGGTGAGAGAACACATACTTGCAAGGAGAGGTTAATTGTAATCTGTTGAAGGCATTGGGTTCATGGTTGCCAGCAGTGTCTTGGAGTGCCGTGTAGACAGTGGAGCTGCAGTGATAGTAAAAGAAGTCTGTGAATTGTACACTAATTCTGTTAAAGCAAAACAGATTTAAACCTGCACACTAAGACTGGAATTTGGGAAGCCCAGTATGAATACCTGTCATGTGCTGGTTATTGTATGTCATCCACAAGAATAGTGCCAAGATAAATAAAAGTTTTATGACTAAAGAAACTGAGACTCACACTTTAAATAGCTTGACTAAGTTTACATGATGATAATGAACATCTTTTAGTGCTAGGCCCTTAGGTGTACTTTAACCTTCGGCGTCTCCATTTTATAGACGAGGGAAGTAAATCATATACTAAAACGCAGAATCTGGCTTCAAAATCATATTTTTCCGATTCACATCTACTGTGTTCTGTGTAGTATAATATCAACAAAATTATTATAATTTTAGATCAAAAATAGAACATCTCTTCTTAAATATGTGACACTCTTGAAAGCAGTTTTTTATTATACTGAAGTCTTTTAGAGGAATACAGATTTGATTTATTAGAAGAAAAATTGGTTAAACATCTTAATATGCTCAAGTATTTCATTTTTTTTTTTTTTTTTTTTTTGGTACCGGGAATTGAACTCATGACCTGCTGCTTGCCAGGCAGGTGCTTATGCCGTTGAGCTATATCCCTGGCCTGCTCAAGTATTTCAATCAGCTTTACGTTGCAAATGTAGTCTGCACATACTGTAGAGGAGGAAATGAAGAGAGGAAAAGTGACTTTTAGTAAAGTAAGTTTAAAACAGTTGTTTTTTTTTTTTTTTAGGGGATACAGGCTGATAAATTCCACTATACCTGAAGAAATGTCAGAAATATGAAGGATACCTGATTTACTTGTAATCTTAGCATTTGGTATATAAGATCTGAGGGGTAGGGACTCTATTTCTGAGAGATACGAAGTTTACCTTAAAATTTTTGAAACCAACATACTAAAATTTTAATTTTGGGATGTTAAAATTTATTTTCAAAGTTATTTTTATTATGCACAGTGAGGGTGGTCTGAGTTCTCCAGAGAGTGCTGATGTAGCTGAACTTAAACATACGATAATTATTAGTGAAGAGGCAGTGTATTAGTCCTTTATTTGTCAAAAGTTGTACCTGTGACAGCTTTTCTAAGTATGATGGGAATATCAGCTGTCAAATCATATTTATTTTTAATCTCTGGAGATTCTGTTCATAGGCTTTTGTCTAAGAAGAGCGCAGTATGCAGTATTTTGAGATTATTCTCTAATATGGTAGATCCTAGAATGAGATTCATGGGACAAACATCTTAGGGAAATAAGAGGTTTAAAATGTCTTTCCTTTCATCAAGAGTCTTACATTCTAGCTGAAGTTAGAATGTTTGCCTGCTCTTAGCTATTTTCCTCATTGCTGGGACAAGATACCTGACACCCACAATTTAGTAAAGGTTTATTTTGGCTCTTAGTTTTGTAGAGGTTTCAGTTCATTGTCAGCTGGCTCCCAGGTAGGACAGCAGGGCAGTGAGGTGTGGCAGAGGGAAAGTAGATACATCAGAGGAGGAAGGATCTGTCTGCATACTGGAGACTGAAGGACCTAGTTGAAAGTTTGGAGCTCACTGCAGTTTCCTTTTCGAGTCTGTATTAGAAGGCTGATGGGTCTGTGATGGAAGGCTGAAGAGTCTGCACTGGAAGCCAGGAGATGATGTCGAAGGAGGAAGACTGAACCTCCTCTGAAGGAGCAGAAGCGGAACAGTCCTTCATTTCCCCTTTATAGCATCCAGGCAGTGAGCTGCCCTAGAGTGGGTCTTCCACATCCTAGGGTGTGGACTTGTTGAACCAATGTAGTTGAGCTTTGCTTTTCTCAATCAACCATCACACCCACAGTGACCCACCTCTTCTAAGCAGACCCTACCTTCTATCAGCAGGTCAGCTATAATGCCCTCATAATTCAGTCACCATCCAAAAGCCCTGGCTATGAATGCGTGAGGCTCTGGAGGGACATCTACATATAAACCGTAACACTTCCTGTACAAAGCAGAGTGACAGATGCCTTGAGAGATACAGAGAGACGTGGAAGAGGAAGAGCCTTCTAGTTAAAAGATCTTTAGAAGAAGAAGGGATGGAGGGCTTTGTGGAGATGTTTGGGTCCTGGCCCACCAAGGTTGGATAAACTTTGAACAGGCAGGTGTGGGGAACCTCCAGGCAGGGATTGAGAGTCAGGGAAGAATAGCTGAGGGCCTACAGACCTTAAAAAAAAAAAAAAGCAGGTGAAAGAATTAGGGTTTTATTCAAGAGGGATAATGGCAGGGTAAGTTGTGGCCATGATATGTGAACTTAATATGGGCTTGGTGTCATCACCATCCCTAAGGCATTGCCAGTGATTACAGCCCTTGGAGCTTCTCTCTGAAGTGTCTTTGAAGAATTTGTTTTTTAAACAAGGAAATGACTTCCGTAAACTGATTTAAAAAAGTTTAGTTTTTCCAAGCATGGTGGCACATGTTTGTAATCCCAGCACTCAAGAGGCTGAGGCCAGAGGGTTGCCCTGAGTTCAGGGGCAGCCTGGGTTACATTAGTTAAAGGCCAGCTGGAACTACATAGCAAGACTCTGGCTCAAAAATACCAAAAAAAAGAAAAAAAGTTCTATGGCAAGTTTTAAAAATAATAGCTTTAAGATACAAAATTCATATACCATGAAAGCACACCGGTAAACTCAGTACTCTGGGAAGCTGAAACAGGAAGATCATAAGTTGAAGCCTAGCTTGGGCAATTTAGTGACTTAAGCTTGAATAAAAAAATAAAAAGGCTGGGATGTGCTTCAGTGCAAAGGCCCTGGATTCAATCCCCAGTACTATACGTACTCCTCAATCTTTTTTTTTTTAACTCTTTCCAAACGCATAGTGCTGTGGTATTTAGTATATTCACAAAGTTGTACTACCACCACCTCTATCTCATTCTGAAACTTCCTTTTTCTTTTTGTTTTTTTCAGAATGGAACATTTTCATCACTACAAAAAGAAGCTTCATGCCCATGCATATTTATTCTCCATTCTTTTTGAAATAGAGCTATTTATACATCTTTCTGTACAGATTTGCCTATTCTGTGCATTTTAATGGAATCATATAATATCTAGTCTTTTGTGTCTGGCTTCCTTCACTTAAGATGTTTCTAGAGTTTGTCCAGATATTAGCTTATATCTGTTTTCTATTTTTGTTGCAAAATAATATTCTATTGTCAGGTATACTACACATTACTTATTCATCAGCGGTTTGACTTTGGGATGGTTCTCCTTTTTGGCTTCAGTGAATAATACTGTGAGGAACATCGCAGTGCAAATGTTAATATTTGTGTATGTTTTCATTCCTCTTGAGTATATACGTAAGTGTGGAATTACTGAATCACATGGTAATGTTATGTTTGACTTTTTGATAAACTGCTAAGCTGTTTTCCCAAGTGACTATCACTTATAATTCTGCAGGTATAATCAATTTCTCTATAGCCTTACCAACACTTGCTGGTTACATTTTGTATTTGTAGACAGGGTCTCACCATATTGCCTAGGCTGACCCCAAACTCCTGGCCTCAAGCAGTCCTTCTGTCTCAGGACTTCTGAGTAGTTGGACCTATAGGTTTACTACTGTAAACTTTCGTCTTAGTGCTTGTATGTATAGTAGTGGATTATTCTGTGACAGCTTGCAGAGTGAATTGAGAAGAAAGAGCAGAGGCAGAATCTAGTAGTATGTTTTGCTGTAGACCTGACCAACAACTTTAAAACTTTTCTGATGGTAATCTATACTAAGAAGTAAACATTATATCATTACCTAGTATTGTATATTACCTAGTGTTGTCAGTATAAAGTCTAAATTTTTTCTTTCTTTAAAAAATTTTTTTTAGTACATGTCTGCAATACATAATGATTACATTCATTGTGGGGAGCTGGTATCTGTTAAAGTATAAATTCTTTAACACATTTACACTGCTCTTTATGATGTGATTTGAGGTAAACATTCAGAAACCTTAAGAACCCACTTAACTTTCATGTATCGGTGTCAGCATAGTAAAACTTTGAAGCCTTCTGAGTGTGGCTTCTATCTTTTGTAATGTGTTTCTCCGGTAAACTCATGTAGTATCTAATAGTAAAGGTCAAATTTTATTATTCTGTGTTGTGATAGTATTTGTCTAACTTCATCAACTGTTAAGTTTCATTAGGGTTTACCATTGTGGTTACTATTGAGTCTGTCACATAGTTGGTATGGTAGGCACTTCATACCTATAGAAAGCAGGAACTACCCACCCTAAACAGGTTTACTGATTGTGTCATAAATATATTTTACATATTTCATCTTATTTAAAAATCATTATGCCTCTCAGCTTGTTCTACTGTAATTTCCCCACATGCTATAGAACTAAAGCACCTCTTCTATAAAAGTTCCCACCTATTCTATAAAAACTTCTTTAATTACACTTGCCTACTTAACTGTTCTTTTCTTTGGGTTCTTGTGACATTTAATATCTTTACTATTCGTATCTCCTGTGTGTTTCCTCTTATATGTATTTATCTTATCTCTTCAAATCCTGTATAACTATGTCAGAATTTACTATTTTAGTTCTTCTGTTTTTTTTCATAATTACCTAGTTTTTAATGCAGAAGACTATGCTGATGACTTTGGGGGCTGCAAAATGTGTATGACAAGTTTTTTGCCATTAAAGGAGTTTGCATGTAAGCAGAAAAGATGAGAAAAGGAAAACTAGCATTTGTTGAGCAACTTCTTATGGATCAGATCTTATAGACAACTTTCACACAGTTGATCTTACTGAATAAATACCAAGGGCATAGTCAGCTACCTGAATAAGTGACATGCTGTGTAGAGTGCTGTAGGATTTCATTCATTCAAGAAATATTTAAGGAGTTCTGTGTGCCAGGCACAATAGTAAGTACCAGGAATAGCCTTAGTTCTCATGAAATAGACAGTTACAATATAGTATGATAAATTCCACGGTGGTTGGGAATCTGCTTTTAGGTATTTATCTTTATGTAGCTCTCAGCATAGCAGGGAGAGACAAGCAAATAAGGACACAGCACACTACCCAGTACATTATATGCTATTAAGGTGCTTAGAAGCTAAGAGAAAGAGCACCTGACTCAGGCTGGAGACCTGAGAGGAACTGATACTTAGCCTGAGATCAAAAGGAGTAATTGGATTTTGTTAGGTAAAGATCATGGGGGAAGTGTGCTTGAGGCAGAGGTAACAATAGAGTGACTTGAAGTTTTCTGTGGCTGGGTCATAGGGCTGGAGTCAGAATGGGTTAGGAATGATACCAGAGAGGTAAACAAGACCCTACTTGACTTAGAAGGTATTTTATTTCTCCACATCTCATTTAAATTCATAAACTGATAAAGGGTAGGCTTAGACTTTTGGCTTAGGTTTCTACTCTGGATTTAGTTTATGATCTTGTTATGTTTTATTACCTCTCTTCCCTGTCTTTCAGATGGTTCTTACTGTATTTCCCTGGTTGGGCTCTAGTGATCCTCCCACCCCAGCCTCCCAAGTACAAGGATGCCAGGCATGAGTTACTGCTCTTGGCCCAGTACGTTTCTCTTTAGTGTGAGAACTGTTAGTCATTTCACAACAATGAGGTGAAGTAATACTTTTTACTTTTTTAATTTTTAATTTTTTGTCTTTTTGAGACAGGGTCTTGCTATGCAGTTCAGGCTGGCCTTGAGCTCTGTTTGTAGCCCAGGCTGGTCTCAAACTTGCAACGATCCTCCTGCCTCAGCCTTGCAAGTGCTGGAATTACAGGTGTGTGCCACCATGCCCAGCTGATACTATATAAAAACCTACATAAACAAGTAAACCTACCTTCTGGTTTGTTCATAATTATTCTCTGTGGCTATAAAGCTAGATTTCCTGCCGAGCATGGTGGTACATACCTGTAATCCCAGCTCTCTGGAGATTGAGGCTGGAGGATCACCATGAGTTTGAGGCCAGCCTGAGCTACGTAGTGAGACTGTCTTAAAAACCACAAACCAAAACCCAAAACCATTAATTTAAACCACAAAAAAAAAAGGAAAAAGCTGGGCGTGGTGGTGCATGCCTGCAATCCCAGCATTTGGGAGGCTGAGGCAGGAGGATTGCCATAAATTTGAGGCCAGCGTGTGCTACATAGTGAGTTCAAGGCCAGGCTAAACTATGTAGTGAGACCCTGTCTCCAAAAGTGCGAAAACAAAAGAAAACAAAAAAGCCCCCAAAATGAAACAAACAGACACAAAAAACCAGTGATACCTTAAAGTAAAAATATGTGTCCCAGTGAAGGCCTCTGTGGGACTGTATCAGGTGAGCTAAGTAGTGCATGTGCCTAGTTTCAGAAATTACAGGATAGTGAATGGAAGGACTGCTCACAATGGACTGAAGGAAATGAAATGTTTTTTTTTTTGTTTTAATCATCCTTGAACAGATCATGCCATGGAGATCCCAGACAGGTTATAACATAGTCTAGGAATCCCCAAATCTGGATTTTTTGGCTTGCAGTGTTTGTTTTGAGTTTGTATATAATAAGTTGTCATGCTTTCTCTTCTTTGTAGAAAGAAATTCAAGCCATGAGTCAGTGCCATCATCCTAATATTGTATCTTATTACACATCTTTTGTGGTAAAAGATGAGCTATGGCTGGTCATGAAGCTGCTAAGTGGAGGTAAGTAGAATACTGTAAAATGTTAAAGTTTCATGAGTTAAAAACGTAGTAAAATTTTTCTTCTTATCTTGACTTGGTTTTAATAGACATTTGCGTTGAGGAGTTACTGATAATGTGGTATCTGCTAAGGATGCTAACATGATCTGAGACATGTTCACACATTGAGTTTTGTTGTTATGCCTCTTAACTATCTTAATTTAGGGTGGTTTCCTCCTGTCTCCTTCAGTTATCTTGTAGGATGTCCTATATTCTGGATTTATCTGATTATTTCTTTAATGTTTAATTTGATTTATTGTCCTCTATTGCATACTTAATATTAAATCTAAAGGCTTCATTAAATTCAAATTAAATTTTTTAGGCAGTACACTTGGTAGGTAATGCTGTGCACTTCATATTGCATCACATGAGGAAGTATTTGCTTTTGTAATAGAGATGTTAATCACTAAAAAAGTGATTAACTTTATTATGTTAAAGATTAACATCTTTAATACTGAAAAGGCAGGATGAAAGCTTGTTTTTTAAGAACTGATTATCAAAGTAAAATGTTAGTCTGATCATCTTCAGTGGTAGTAATTGAAAGATTTTTTTCCTTTGTCCATTTGGTGGGTAAGGAATTCACAGTTTTTGAACATCATTATAGACTCAAGGTTTTTTTATATGTTCAGTATCTTTCAGTCACTTGTACTGTGGTTTGCTTCTCAGGTTGTAGAGAGTTTTGTTAGTGGAAGATGCGTGAAGATCTGCCTGTGTCCTTCTGATGTGGCCTGCCGGTCTGGGTTATAGCCTTGCCCTTATCTCCCAATGCACATCTGCGCTTTTTCTCCCAGACCTTGAATCTGACCTATACTTCCTAAAGTAAAGGAAGCGTGTGCTCATTACTACTACTATATCAGTGCTTCTTGAGCTTAGAAATATCGTATATCACAGGTCGTAACTTGATGCTAGTACTTCCAATTCAAGTTTCATAGTATACTTATAAAACTTCTTTAATATTACACTTGAATCTCTTTTCTTTTACAAACAAAATCTTGGTCTTCAATATTAACATAATTACATATATGGTATATATGGAACTGTATATACCTACATATTTTGTGAGATACACACACACAATTATTTCTTCTTTATCCTTACAATAAAATGTAAGTATTACTGATTGTACACAGTGGACCTATGGCACACATAAATTGTACATTTTGTTATGGTTTCCCGAAAGCCCTATGCCATGTAGTGAATTAGTCTTTTTTGCTAAGGCCTGGATTTGAATCTTGTGGCATGATTGGTAGGATTTGTGAGTGATGGAGTCACTCCAGCCTTCCCATCCTTACGCTGCTTGATTTTTGTTAGTGTGTGTATTGTGTGAGAGAGCGTGATTTTCCACTTTATAACATAAAGTTACAAAAAAGAAAATCCGTACTTGTTTTGTAATTTTAATACTCCATTAAACACTGTACTTCCCCAGCAGTGCTGTAAGAAAAAAGCTTGAGTCTTAGATAATATTCTAGCTTTCCAACCGAGCAAATGTATATGATTAGGTAAACTGTTTCAACTCTGAATGTTTTTTCTTGTCTGTAAATGAGGAGGTCATTCTGCATTTCAGAGTTGATAAGGAGTAAATAAGATGGTATATATAAAGCATCTAGCACTGTGCTGGCGTGTAATAAATGTGCAAGAGTTTTTAGTCATTAGTAGTAATAGTCTCTTGGTATTGCTACTTTTCAGTATAGCCAGAATCACCTTTTTGTTTGAGTCGCATTAGTGACACACTGGAGAAATTGGATTGCTTTGTTAAAGGCCCTGTTCGTATGATGGTTGGAAGCCTTGCTAAGACCAACCACTTTTTACGATGATGGTCTAGCATTACTCTTTCATTCTGGACAGATTTGGGATCACTAGGTAATGCTGTATCTTTTATTATTGATCACCCATAGCATACTTTTCTTTACTTGTAATTTCCAAAATGTATTATACAAAGATTTTACTGTTGCAAAAAGGTCCTTTACTGAATAGGAATTGTTTGCATAATTCTGTCACCTGCTTCTGTATGATAGCCCATCCTTTCTGCCACTTCAAAAGCAGGTTGACTTTTATTTATTTTTAAAGGATTCCTACCCCTCTGTCAGTGAGTGTACTGGTCACAGAAATGGCAGGACTTGTGGGAGTGGGTGAATTGCCTTCTAAATGTAGCTCTTGGTCCCTCCTTTTCTTTGGTCTCTTGGAACAGTGCCCAGTTTTTCCAAGCTAGAGCTCCATGGATTTCCTGGAGGATAATTGTCAGGTGTGCCTCACTCATAACTCTTACAGTTACTTGTAACTTAATCTTTACATGTAAACTTTTTGTTTGTTTGTTTTTCCTTTGGTACTGGGAATCAAACAATCAAACTTACGACCTTGGGCTTGCCAGGCAGGCGCTTGTGTCACTGAGCTGTATCCCCAGCCCTACATGTAAACTTTTTAAATGTTACAAATTTTAGATCTTTTTGGGAAGTGGAATCTTTCTTTTGTTATTATAAAGTAAATAAACATTTAAACTGAAAGGATACATTAAGCAATGTTTAGAAAACAAAAACTAGAACTAAGTTCAACTTTAACAATTTTTTTTTGAGACAGGGTCTTGCTATGTAGTTCAGGTTGGTCTTGGACCCACTATTTTGCCCAAGCTGGCCTTGAATTCATGGCATTCCTCCTTTCTCTGCCTCCCGAGTACTGAGATGATAGGCATGCGCCACCATGCCCAGCAATGATTTTTTTTTAAAATAGGAGGACATTGTATCAGGATTTACAGTGTAACTAAAATGCTGTTGATTAAATACTTACTGAACACCATTATATTGGTGAATAAAACTGTTATTTCCTTGTTCACATGGACCTTACAGCTGACAAAGAAAAATAGTAGTTAAATAATTACAAGTGTAGACTGATTTAAAAAAGTACTATCAGGTGCCATAGGACTAAGTTCCATGAGAATTCGTCCTTACTGAGAGAAACTGGGTGCACTGGGATTAGCAGAGGCTCCTTCAGGAGGTAATGTCCAGCTGAGACCTGGACCAAAGGTAGGGCTTAGCCAGATGAAAGAGGAGTGGGGGTGATATCTGAGCAGGGTAGACATTCTGCAGAAAAGAGTGTGGAATCAGAATGGAGGAGTGGTATGTCTTGAGGACTGATAAGGCATTATAGCCAGAACAGAGAGTAAGAGCCTCACAATAATTCCTTTGAATAATTGAAAAAAAAAAAAAAAAGCAAGTTAGCAGAGTTAGTACTTTCTTTCACATGAGTTGCTTCAGCTAACCTATTTAAAATAAAAGCGTATTTTTGACTTCGTAACATTGCACTGATGTAGAATTTAATAAGCTAGCTAATAAAATGAACAGTTAAGTGCCACTTTTTTGTTTTTGGTGGTGGTGCTGGTGCTGGAACACAGGCAAGTGCTCTAACACTAAGTCACCTCCCCAGCCTGTAACTGACACAAACTATTAGCCAGGTGGACATCACGGTTAAAATTTCCCTAAGTATGTTGGTATTATAATCATTTCATGGCTGTTCTTTGGGGAGGCCGAGACAGGAGAACTGTAAGTTCAAACCCAAGCTGGGCAACTTAGTGACTTAGGGAGATCTAGTCACAAAGTGAAAGGTAAGAAAGAGGGTTGGGCACGTAGCTCAGTGTGAAGTACTGTGCTCTCCCCACATCTATCCCTGACTCTGTTGTTGAGTGTTGGGATTTACTAGTACTCTAGTGATAAACCTTTATAAATTAGAATTATAATTTTTGTTCTAAATAGCTAAGCCCATAATTTATTAGCACTAAGCTGCAGTATAAGATTTTTTTAAAAATCCAAGTAATTAAGAAAACTTCTGAGAAGAGAATGAAGTATCACTAGTACTGAAAGGATTACGTATAGAAGTATAGAATTTTAGTTTACACGCACAGGCCTAGACAGTGAAGTATTTTGTTGTTTAGGGTTATTCTACTTTGTCATTTTCTAAAAGATAAAGTCATGGGTATATCTGGAGTTCTAGGCAGGATCTAGGTAAAGTACCTTATATTAATAGTGACCAGCCATGTTTAGTCAGTAGCGGAGGGTTTCTAACCTTCTGCAGTGTCTGTTGGCCTAAAATGGAGTACTCAGCCAAGCCAATTTTGGCCCCTTTGAAACCTCCACAGATCAGCAAGACACAAACAGCCTAGCTGGCTAAAGATTGATGAATGCTTCTTAAGTGTAAGGGGAAGTAAAAAGGATCAAGACGTGATCAGTACCCTGTGTTGACTGTATTTATTAATGTATCACAAACCTTTACTAATGAGAAAAAAACTTACTAGAGAGGTCAGTGTGGTGGTGCATGCCTCTAATTGTACCTTTTTTAGGAGTCTGAGGCAGGAGGTTGTAAATTTGAGGGCAACCTGGGTAATTTAGTGAGAACCTGTCTCAAAATTAAAATAGGCTGAGGATGTAGCTCAATTTCCAGTGCCCTGGTTTTGATTCCTAGTACTATAAAACAAAAACCAAAAAACCCTAACTTTTTAGCAGAGATGTTAGTTATTTTAGTTAACTCTCCCTTGCTGTGACCAAATACATGAAAACCACCACTTAAAGGAGGAAAGATACATTTTATCTCATGGTTTCTGAGGTTTTAGTCCATGGTCAGCTGGTTCCATTGATTTTAGGCCAGTGCAAGGTGGAAACATTGTGATGGACAGGTGCAGTGGAGGAAAGCTACTTAGCTCATGGCAGCTCAGAAGCAAGAAAAGAGAAAAAGCCAGAGAGGAAGGGTCCTGGAACCAGGGTTAATCCCCTAGTTCACCCCCATGATCCACTCTTTTTAGGTAGGCCCTACCTCCTGTTTCTATCATGTCCTAGTAATGTCTTCAAATTATGATCTCGTCAGTGGATTAACCCACTGATGAAGTCAGAGCCCTTATGACCTAAGTGCTTGCCTAAAGCCACATGTCTGAACACTTAAGACTTTGGGAACATTTTAGATTTACCTCATAATACTAATAAGCAAATTGAATGCACTGATTTTGTATTCAAAGAGTATCTTTTCATGAAAGGAAACTTAGGAAATTAGCATAGTGACTGATTTGATTCAGCTGTGATTTTGATTTAATAAGTATCTTAACCCAGCAACCCTTTACCATATTGTCAAAATTATTTTGATATTCAGTAATGATTTTCTTGGACAGTTAAAACTTTTGCATTACTTTCTTTTGGGTTCTTTTTGAGACAAAATTTCACCATGCAGTTCAGGCTGCCTTGAAACTCACTATGTAGTCCAGGCTGGCCTCAAACTTGAGGTGATCCTCCTGCCTCAGCCTCTGAAGTGCTAGGATTACAGGTGTGTGCCTCTATACCTGGCTTTTTGCGTTGCTTTTTCAACCAGTGCAACGACTGTGAAGGCACACAGGAGATTGTTTATGGGTAGATGACCTATATTTTAAATTTTTTCTTTATTACAAAATTTGTGCTAAATTCCCTTGTTTTACGTTATTTATTTACTTTTATTATGAGAAACACTTGGATTTTAATAGGCAGCTTTCATCAAATTAGTGTATATTGTTAAGATAGCTTTTAAAGTGTAACTTTTTTGGCTCAGATCTCTTGAATGATGGTCTGTGGTGCCTGGTCTGTAGGCCCTGGGGAATTTCATTTTTTACTTGCTTGCTAATATATATTGCCAAGTAATTCCATTGTGTATTAAAGTTCAAGAAATGATTATCCCTGCAAATATTTCTTCTAGATTGTGCTTGAAGCCAAAATATGTTATATGCTATTGTGATCTTTATTCTTTTTATACTTTTCTTTATGTATTGAGTCATCCAGTAATAATCTGCCATCTTCTTTTGCTTCACTGTTTTATCTTCATTTTTCTCTTAGTTGATGTGAAAAGCTCCATGTGTTTTGTTTTTTTTTTTCTGGCACCAGGAATTGAACTCACAACCTTGCACTTGCCAAGCAGGCGCTGTGCCACTGAGCTAAATCCCCAGCCCCCAAAGCTCCATGTAATGTTGGTGTTTGAGGAGAGAGGATTGTTGCTACCATCTTTGGGTTAGATGCTACAGGATGGTGAGAAAATCAGATGCATAAGCGGGAGACCATCACAAATGGTGTCTGTTAATTAAGGATGAAGGTCTGCCACCTATAAAAATCATACTATTGTGACTGAGACTGAAAAGAAATAGTTACGCTGGAAAAACGAGTTTCTTAAGCCTGTTCAGATGTCTGTTGTGTACCTAGACTGGGGATGCGTGTTGCTTTAATTTCAACTTTGATTATTAGGTGACATGAAATCAGTAAAAATCTTATAAAGCTTTGAAAAGGAACTTCTATTTCAAACTCTTTTAAAATACAGGTCTAATAATGTTATATGCCCTAACTAAGGTCTTTGTTGCTCAATTTTTTAATCTACCAGCCTGGAAATTCCCTTAATATCAGCAACCATGTCATATATAATTTGTCATATTCTGCAGTGCCCAGTTCTAGTTCTTGAATATAATAGGGCTTAATTGTTAAATGAATACATTCTACTAATTTTTGATTTTCAGTAGGAATGTTTTCCTTTGGATTCCTTATTTTAGATACCCTTAAAGTTTCAAGCATAGAACTTGATCAGTGGTACTCTGTGTAACCTGGATTTCTCAGAAGAATAAAACATGTGGCTCATTGGTCATTCAGCTGCAGGAGTTTATATGTGAATCAAGCTCTGTAGGCTTCTCCTTCCCTGTCATGAACTTGTGAATCCCAGCAACGAAGACAGGAAGAACTAGTAATAATGTAGTGATGTGCTAGGGAGTGCTGACTGGAATGTGGAGCCTCTCTGCTTCCTGGTCTTGAGAATAAGCTGCTTGTGTCTAGCTGGAGGTGGAGAGTGGTGGTGGACTGGCTTCTAGGGCGTAGGGACAGGGAGGAATCTTATATTCTGTTATCTGAATTCACACTACTCCTTCTTCTAGTCCCCCACACTTCTCCTTCTGTGGTACTTGAGTGCAGTTCTTAGCCTTTCTGGAGTTCAAAGCAGGTTAACACTTTTTCTTAAATGGCACATCTCCTATGGAAGCACTGAAGTTCAGATTTCTCCACTCTGCTTAGTCACTTTTTCTGCTTTCTTCTAGAATATTGTTGCCATCTCTTTTTTTCGCTTGTGTTTTCTTCTTATTCTAGGTCTTTTTTTTTAGATCCAATTTAATAAGTTACTATCTTTTTAAGTGGGAACTAAAATAAACTTATGTTCAGTCTTATGTGTTCTTTTGTTTTGGTACAGAGGATTGAATCCAGGACACATGATCACTGAACTATAACCTGGCCTTAATGCTCTGAGGTTTTAAGGATTGCATCTAGGTCACTTTAGAATTATGTTTTTCATTTTTTGAGTGAAGTAAAAGCATCTAGTGAGGTAAATTTTCAAGAAGACCAAGTAGTTGTTTTAGTTTTAGTCTTGATCATTGAGGTCTTCTATGAAAAAATGGTTATTGGATTTTTTCTCAGTGTAGTCTGTGTTATATTCCAGACTTTGGCACAGTTTCTAATGTGGTTTGGTTTGGTTCTGTGATCTTTCTGGGTTATTATATTGCCAGAAATCTTAATACTCTCAGCCAGAATTTTTTTTTTATTATAATCATCAGTTTTGGTAGTCAGCATTCTGTGGTTTTAATTATTTATTGGTGTCACTTCATGTCTTTCCTCATTCTGTAATGGGAGCATTATTTCCTTTTTTGGGGAGAACAGGACTGAGAAGACATCCAAGATGTTAGTTAAAAGAAAACTGTCATTATTATTCTTTTCACATTTGTCTTTGCCTTAGCTGTTTCATTTTTATAACATTAACCTGAAAATTTTAGCCTTTAAGTTAATTTATATACAGATACGATCTTTACTTTTTAGATATTTCTTGCCTGATTTGACCTGCATTTCAATTGGGTTTTTATGTCTTTGGTAATACAACACTGTATACTATAATCTGGGCTTGGCGCCTTCAGTGATTTATGATATCTTGTACTAGAGTGTTATTGCTGGGTGTGATTCTACTATGGATTCTTCAGAGATGGTTAAAAATCCTCCATTACTTTCAAATTCTCATTAGAACTCAAAAGGAGTTGCTGGTCTAACATACCATTTGAATATCAGTAGGCTACTTTCTGTTTTAGATTGGAATTAAGAATAGATGACTACTTTTTGCTTCTATATTTCCATTTGCTATGTTTTTCTTTCCTGCAAACTTCATTTTAAGAAAAGGTTTAAATATGTTTTGATTTCAAAATGGATCTAAATTACTTTGAATAAGCTAATATTTTTTAGTGAACTGTGTATTCTGTTTTCAGGTTCTGTTCTGGATATTATTAAGCATATTGTGGCAAAGGGAGAACACAAAAATGGAGTACTAGATGAACCTACCATTGCTACGATACTCCGAGAAGTATTAGAAGGGCTGGAATACCTGCATAAAAATGGGCAGATCCATAGGTACGTGAAAGAGATCAGTCTTCGAGTTTGGATGAGTATGATGGTAGTTGTGATGTATCATATCATTGAAACCACAGAATTCACCATAATTTCTGAGTGTTATCATAGCTTTGTATTGCTAGTTTCAGTATATTGTGGTTGGAGTTTTAAATATAAAACTAGTATTAACAAAGTGATAAATAGTGTATAAAATTGGGAAATACAAAAACAAGAACAACTTAATTTCATGAGACAGTCACTTGGATAAAAGATAATGGAGTTTTTTATGTGCTTGAGAAATACTTAAGATAATACTGTGTATATAATTTTGTTTGTTGTTTTTCTTAGTTGACTTTATAAGTAAATCTTATAGTATCTTCATATTTCCCCAAATTATTAGAAGCTCTTTGTAAAATACCATTTCTTTATGCTGGTTGGGGATATGGGATACACGGAGCCCATGTTACCTTTCGTTATTGAATGGAGGGCCAGGAGAAACTGAGTCTGAATTACCCTCCTAAGTGAAAGGCTGTGAGAATTGGCTGGCATGGGTGATCTAGGCCTACCTGCTACATTTGGTGTGTAGGACAGGGGATGAAATTTCCCCATCTAGTCTTCTTTGGCAACTCTGATTCTGGCATGGCAGGCCCTTAGCTATTAGAAGAGTGGGGTCCAGAATGGGCCTCCTGCTAGGACTCCGTTACTAGCTCTGTACTGTTCCTTTGACCACAGAAAACAAACTTTGGCTTTTTGACTTCTATTTGTTGATGGTTCTGGGTTTCAGGATCTCGTTAGTGTCTAGTCTGTAAAAGATTTTTTAAAAGTCTCAAGAAACTTAGTGGTGTTTTGCTTTTATAAATCTTAAGGCGCCTTGCCATGCTCCTCTTTCAAGTTCTTTTGTGATTAAGGCTGGGGATATAGCTTAGCAGCACAGTGCTTGTCTGGCAAGCATGAGGTTGTGAGTTTGATTCCCAGAAACAAACAAACAAACAAAATAAAACAAGTTCTTTTGTGATTGCTGAAATACTTCGGGAATTTTAGTTGTATTTAAAGGAAAAGAGCAGGGAAAAGTAAACCTATGCCATTTTGTTTAGGACTGGAACTAGTTCCTGGAGCTAATTCCTGAAATCATGGGATAGTACCACAATTTTACTTTTTTTGTTTCTGAGTTCACGTTCTAAGTGTAGCATGACAGGTTTTTGTATGCTAGTGGAACCACTTTTTGAATATCTTATTTTTATATTATTTTCAACACTACAATGAACATTTTTCTCTGTGAGTTTCTATTCTAAGATTTTTTATTCTAAAAGTTTACCTTTCACAAAAAGACAAGCAAAAAGGGAAAAAAACGTTTTAACTGAAGATATATTGCCATTGTTTTACAGAAATGTGCAGGTTTATGCCACTTGGTAGTGTATGATAATGGTAGATTCATTGGACTCTTGCTAACCTTGCTTATTAAAAGCTTCAGTTTGCTAATTTTATAGATTAATTTTAATATATTAGATCATTAGTGAGGTTGAACATTGATTTATATGGAATAATTGGTGTTTCCTTTTATGAAATATTTGCTTATCACTGCTTACTTTTCTATTGGGATTTCACTACTCTTTTGTTATCTTGTGCTTTTTATATAATTAAAAATGACCTCTCCTCAGTTTGTTGTGTGCTGCTTGGGTCTTAGGTAACTAGTAGAACAAAGGAACAAGAATGAATCAGGTTGCTGGAGTGTTGAGTAAAACCTGGAAAACAAAATAGGGCTGGTTGAAAATCCACTGGTTGGTGGATTAGAGATGTGCTTACATGCACGCATCATAGTGGAGTGCTTGGACAGTCACCTAGAAAGATGGAGGTTATGGTTAGAGAGTGAGAGTTTTGAATTAGTGAACTTATATTTGAGTTAGTTGAGATGACAAGATAAACTAAAGAAGTAGATGACTAAAGTCGGGTGGAGGAGGAGGTCTTTTTAGAGGTAGTGTGAGTGAACTGAGAGGCATGGTGCTGCATTATTATCCATGTACTTGTTGAAGTCTGTTAGGTTGATGGCAGGATGACTGGGAGAGCAAGACTGTGGTGTGGTAATGAATAGCTGGAAAACTGAATGATGGTGGCAACAGAGGGAAAGAAGATGCCAAAAGCCAGGTTGCAGAATCTGAAGAGAACTGACTTAAACAGAAAGAGCAGTGTTTAATACATTTGTAGAATAGAAAGAATAGAATTAGGACACAGACTTTATAATATACATGACACATTTATAGAGAAGATGTTTCATTTTTCAAGTAAGTTTCCTATCATTTCTGTCTCCCTCAGAGCAAAACATAGTAGTTACTTTTCTCATGGATGAGCTGCTTCATTCTGTTGGACAGTAACTATATCTTTTATGTTTCACATCATTATTTATTTATTTATTTTTTATTTTAAAGAGTAAAAGAAGGATAACATAATAATGGGGGGGGCTTACCAAATTACAGACAAAGTGGTAGGAAATTATCAATGGTTATTG